AAAAAAAAAAGCAGCTGTGAGTATGCGAAAGCATCTCTTGATAATGGAGGAGACGCTGACTACTCGCCTAACGAGCTATAGGCACAATATCTGCTTCTCTTTCCGGCCCAGCTCCTACCAGCAGGTATCGTGTACGGCGCTATGATGGTTTACATTGGCCTTACGGCTATCTTGACCATTGTTTGTCAAAACTTTGAACAGATAATGGCCCTGAGGTATGTCCCAATCGGCAATAACATGACACCTCATCACATGGAATCCGCACCAAGTACTAAACCATGATATAGGTTCTTTTACGGGTTTAGTCAAATACTACAACCTTTGAGCGTCATTATAACGGTTATGTGGTAATGACTCCAACCCCCCCTTTTCAATTCATGTTACGTTTTTCATGTGCGACACGTTCTCACATATAACAATTAGGTGGAAAACCAATGAACAGCCTTTGCGAATAGGAATTACAATCGCCGGCAATGCCGTGGGTTCTCTTGTTGGCATTGGAGTTGATTTTGGTGCGGTGAAGCTTGGTGGAGTCTTCGCTACTAGTCGATGGAAGTGGATTTATGTGATTCTGGGGTCCTGTGCGCTCTTGGCCGGCATGGTTATCATGGTCCTGCTGCCCGCAACCCCGATGAAGGCATGGTTCCTCACACCTCGGGAAAGACACATCGCCGTGCGCCGTGTTATGAGCAACAACACTGGCATTCATACTCGAAAGTTCAAGCTGCATCAGGCATTGTCTGCCTTCCTCGACCCTCAAGTTTATGCCTTATGCATATTCTGCTTTACATTTGCCTTCTGCAACGTGGCAATTTCCAGGTACATGATGCTATCATATTACTCTCGATTTTGAAGGAAACCAAACTTATTTGTCTTCTGCAGTTTTGGCGGGTTCCTTATAACCTCCTTCGGGTATTCGCAGACTCGCGCTCTGTTGCTCTCCATGCCTGCATCCGGCATAGCGGTGGTTTGCCTTGTGCTCTCAGGGTAAGTCCTTTATCCAAGGCGAAAGAAAACGCACGACATCAAATAAAGCCTCCCTGTTTCTATGTCGATATTGGAATTGCCATTGACATTTGCAGGATTCTTGGCAGTCGCTTCCCACGTCATCGAATCATTATTGCCATAGCGTTCATCTTACCTTCATTGATGGGAAACATCATGCTGTGGAAGACGAGCCGAGACAATAAAGCGGCACTCCTCGGAGGACTCTACATTGTAAGTCTCTCTTCTAATCCCACCCGCGTTTGTTCTGTGCCGTCTTTCTAAACACCCTAACAGTCCACCACGTTCTACGGCTCCCTCGTTCAGCACTACTCTCTCCTCGCAGCCAATATAGGAGGACACTCCAAAAAGACGATTGTTATGGGTACCATCACCATCATGGGCGCTCTTGGTGGGTTTAGCGGACCATGGGCGTACAAAGGAAGCCAGACTGCGCAGGGTTATCCCGACGGTCAAATTGCGACACTGAGTCTCTTCTGTGCCTCCATTTTGGCATATATTATCCTTTGGTATGTATACGTGTCCTTATCCTCCAACATCTTAACATGCCTCCTCAATCATCTGCTTGGTCGATGAAGGAATCCTTATCAAACTGCTTTACCACCGGTTTCTAATACTTTATAATTACTAATGCATGTTAAAACCAGGTTTTACTATACCTCTTGCAATGCGAAAAAGGCAACAATATTGATGGAACACCCTGAATTAGCTGCTGATCCAATGATTGCGTTTATGGACATGACAGACCGGGAGAATCCTGCATTCCAGTATGCTCGTTAAGTAGCTGCAGATTATCTTGTTCCTTATCATCAATTTTGGTGTGGTACGATTTCCTCTGGTTCTGCACAAGCAGGCAGTATAACGCCATAGGACCACTACAATTCAATAAATCAACATTCCTAGTCTATTCATGACTAAATTCTATCCCTTGCCACTCACATTCAGTTCAAAATATAGACTAGACATTCCACAAACATACGGTTGTAGAAATGAGGCTGGCCTTTACATACAGAGCCGAAACAGTTAGCTAGATTTAATCGTATTAATATAATCTAGTCACTGCTCATGCTATCGCAATTCATGTGCTTCGCAATGCCGCTAGAGATGGCTATATAAAAGCTGTGTAATAGCCCGCCCATTAGGCGTTGGCATCATACTGCATGGGGATTGCACATGTACCCGGTTGACCATGCACCAGCAACGGTGTGTTGTGGGCAGAGCATGATTCCATATAAAATTTTCTGTCTACCGGCCGCCGGTCCTTACACCGGTCGCCGACAGGTAATGCCGTCTATGCCGAGCCGACACGGAGAAACACCGATTAAACTAATGCAGTTAAATGGCTACTAAACTTTTCAAAAACAACTATCTATGCTGGTGTTCCCCTTGACTACGGCATCATAAATCAAGAGTTGAAAAATAAGCCAAGTCGCCATCATGTTCGAGTATCTGCCCGCCCGAAGGTCACAAACTGTCGAATCATTCAGCAGTACTACTGCAGACTCTGATTCTATATCCCAGGTTCGGGTTCCCAATCCGTATGACTGGCTAGAAGACATCAGTAGTGATGAAACTCGCGAATTTGTTGCCGCCCAGAATGCAGCCTTGGATCGCTACCTCTCCACCGACACCTCAGGCTCATCAGCCAAGAACAGTTTCATGACTCTTCTTCAGTCGCTAGTACAGGGAGAGGTAGTCAACCAGGCCCCTCAGTCCGCTGGGAAGTATTATCTGCTACGAGTGTCTGGTTGTGGTCGTGCATTTCCCGTCACTGTTAAGATATGGAAGCAAGACCTGCAGACATTTCTACAGTTCCCAGGTTCAACCAACAACAGTTTTTCTCCACACAAGCCACCCCAGGTGTTTCATGACGAGAGTGATGAAGGTGGCACTCTACTCTCGTCTGGCGTCAGCAAAGGCGGCAAATACTGGGCATACTCTACTAGCGTCAAAGGTTCCGACTGGGGAGTGATTCGTGTAAAGGAAATCGAAACAGGTCGAGTGTTTCCAGATGAGATCTGCGATACCAAATTCAACAACATCACTAAACCAATATCCTGGTGGGGGGATCTTGGCTTCTTTTATCAATTCTGGCAGTCGTGTGCCGAACATAACGCAAGACCCCAGCTACGATATCATGCTCTTGGAACATCTCAGGCAGATGATAGGGTCATACATGAGGACAATGCCCATCCAGGTTATTGCTTCTGGTTGCAAGTTTCCGACGATGAGAGATTTGCGTTCTTGAGCATATACAGCGCTGGACAGACATGCCAAATTCGAGCTGCCCGAATAAGCAATCTCGGTGATCAGCCCAAGCTTGACTTCAATACTGAAGTGTGCGATAATTTCGATTATAAATGGGAGTGAGTAAGATGAAATAAGATAGCAAAGTCTGATTTTACTTGTCTGATAGTTCTTCAACAGATATATCGGACGAATTTCACGAGAGGGACAACAACTTTATGTCTTCTACACAGACAGGAATAACGGCGAAATTGTCGGCTTGTCACTCGGTAGCATTTCACCATCACACGTGTTGCTTGTCGAGGGCATTGATGCTCAGACTTTAAAATTGGCTCAAGCGGTATGTGAAATTTTACACCAGGATTGCGTCTTTAATTATTGATTCTGACTTTCGAGCCGAAGATTGGAGATGACCGTATTCTTCTTATTCGTTCGGTAGATGTTCGTGATAGGCTCCAGCTCCTGTCTATTGCGGACGGGAAAGTTACAGCGATGGACTCTCCGATTGACACGGTCTTCCATGTGGGTTACGATTCTGCGAGCCAAGACATTTTCATCATTGAATCATCTTTTTCCCGGCCATTATCTCTATGGCATATCGACGGAAAAGGGCTTGGTATATCCCGCGCCCATTCCGTTGTAACCCGGCCGGTTAAGTTATATCCAGAGCTTAATTCCGATGCTTCTGGTGTGTCTAACAAGCAAGTCTTCTATTCCTCAGCAGATGGTACCAAAATCCCCATGTTTCTGGTCTCGGATGACCTCCATCCGATCTCGGCAGATACACCAGTCCTGCTTTACGTGTACGGCGGCTTTGGTATCTCAGTAATTCCCCATTTTCGTCCCGACTTCTTGGTCTTTATCAAGGCCTTTCGAGGAATTGTGGCCTTTGCGAATATTCGAGGCGGTGGCGAATATGGCCGATCCTGGTACTTGGCAGCTTGTAAAGAAAGGCGGCAAAGAGTTCTGGACGATATCCATGGCGCGCTGAAGTATCTGACGGATACACTGGGTGTAAAGAGGAAGCCTGTCCTCATGGGCGAAAGTATGGGCGCTCTGAATTCCATGAGCGCAGTCGTTCAGCATCCCGACCTTGTGTCAGCGGCCATTTTGAACGCCGGGCCGTTTGACGTCCTACATCGGGGAAAGTCAGGGTTGGGTATGAGGGGATTAGAAGATATCGGTGATGAGAAGGTTCCTAATGAGTTCGCTGCAATCTTCAAATGGAGTCCTTTGGAGAACGCGCGAGTGGGTCATCAATACCCACCAGCGCTATTCACCGCCGGTGATCAAGACGACCTGGTGAGGTACAGCAATAGCTGCAAGATGGTCGCCACCCTACAGCATGTGCAAAGAAAGCTTGAGGGGAATTCCGCAATCTACCTTCGAATCTGCGAGAATCTTGGACATGGTGGTGCCATTTCAACAGTAAAGGCCGCGAGCATCAGTGTGGAACGTTGGCTGTGGTTAAAGACAACACTGGGATTGAAAATTTACGATGAATGATAATCACCCGGCTGGGGCGAGAAATTTCGACGTCATCTTGAAGGATTCACACCTGTGCGTTTAATTCTAGATAGAAATGCGAGACATTGTCAATTTTGCCGTGTACAGCAATCGTATACTGTATCCCCGAAACACATAAATGTGTGTAAAACATACAGAACCCTGACCCCAACCGGCTGTGGCTCTTCCCTTCACTGTCCACCTTGAGCATCCCATCTGCCAAAGTCGAGTACTTTCTTTGCCTGCGTGAGTTCATTAGTGCATTGAATAATATATTTGCATAATACCGGCAACCGGCCAGATCATACGAACCTTCGGCCTAGAACCTCAACCGGCGCAGTGACCGGCGGCCGGACAATAGCGGGGTGCCGGTGGGGAGATGTTGGGCCAATCATTCGGTCATTTGCTACATGCTCCTTTTTCTACATGTACACTCCCATATTGTATTTGGAGTGTGTCGAAACCCAGATATATTCAAGTGCGACTACGGGATTAATGAGAAAAAACCAAATGGCCCTCACTAGCCCCAAGGATACGTCGCTGCTTCTAACGATAGTTAGTGCTCTCCGTCTGGCTATTACTCTCCCCGGCATAGTTGTGTTATGCTTCGCTAGGCGTTTGAGGAAATCCAGTGACTACAGTCTGAAAAATGACATTCTACTAGCTGTTATCCGAAGGTAATGAAAGTCAATGTCCTCCCAACTACTCTTGATGGGACCTTGGGTTGACGTTGTGTTCTCAAAGCTTAGGCTGGATGCCGCTGTCAATTCGACGAAGACGTGCAAAACGAGATGACCTCGCTGCTGTACGGAATTCTTTTCGGTTCTCAAAAGCAGACCCAGAATTGGGCAAGAAAGTGTCCAGGCCAAATTTCGAGGGATACTGGGTATGCAGAGGGTCGATTAATGGAACCCAGGGGTGTCTATCTCAGTCCAAGGTTACCTTGTTGTGGATTCATGGCGGTGCCTACATCACCGGCTCTGCACTTGCCGCACTTGTCCCTTTACTACGAATTGCCGAGCTTGCAGCAGAGCAGAACCTTTCCATCAACATCTTCACATTAGAATACTCGCTCGCTCCGGAAGCCAAATTTCCAACGCAGCTTAACGAGGCGACTGCTGCGTATAAATACTTGATTGAAGAGGAAAAGATTGACCCAAACAGTGTCTTCGTCTTGGGAGAGTCGGCCGGTGGCCACTTGGCTCTATCACTGGCTTACAACCTACTGCAACAAGGTCTTCCGCGACCGGGGAAAGTTGGCTTACTTTACCCGTGGGCGAATCTCGAGAACTCAGGCACGAGCTTTGAAACGAACAAGTATAAGGATTGCCTAGACAAAGGAGACTTAGTCCGCTGCGCCGACTGGCTCATTGGAGGAGATGGTCGTTCGAAATTTGCTGATTTTATGAACTTCGCATCTTCTCCTCCCCGGAAAGGTTTGCGTTGGTCACAGGTCTTGCCATCTACATGGGTGATTATTGGCGGGAATGACGTCTTGGTATCCGATGTTTGCAAATTTGTGGATGAGGCCCGGAAGGATGGTGTATCCTTAGAGTTTCACATTGAGCCTAGGATGCCTCATGGCTGGCTTGGGTGGTACGATGCACTGGCAGAAAAGCAATTTCTGCAGTTATCTCCGGCGGATGATGCGAGCTCGGTCATGCCTGGCAGTGAGTTGATTGCAAAAGTAATCTGTGATCATGGATACGTCTATGGTGGCCGCGAGCTATAAGTAAGTAGTATAGGTTAGTTATAACTTATAACGTGGTCCATAAGCACGCGGCGCACTTGAAGGGTGAAATCGGCTAAAGGGTCCGACTCATATTTTTAGCTAAGTATATAGGTTAGGGCGTAAATAGTAAAATGCACTCTTCCGTTTTCATATACGGACGTTGTAGTAGAAGATATTGTTGATCAAAGGTGGTGGTCCTAGATTCTGTTACCTAGGACGATTTTTGTTAGAAATAGACACCATCTATTTTTTTTAGTAGGCGAATGGTAGATATTACTCGGCGGGTCCACCTACGAGCGAAGCGAGTAGGTGGCGACAGACAAATGAGTTTGCGACAGACGAATGAGTTTGTCGTGTATGTTATATACTTAAAGAATTCTACAACCATAGGTAGCAATAGCATAGAGTTTATATAGAACTATAGTATAAACTCAATAGAACTATCATCTGCATCTAAAGACCCTACAGAAGCATCATCATTGTCGCCATTTTTATCGCTCTTACTGTCGCTTTTGTGCTTATATTTCAACACCACCACCTTAGAACGTAACCTACGCTTCCTACGCTTATCCACTCTATTCCGCTTAGCCTTACAAGTATAAACATTCTAGCTTTATTAAATTCTACTTCTAGTATAGCTAGTAGATAACTAGTAAGGAAGATTAGAAGGACTATTATAAACATTATATTAACAACTTTAACATGCCTTTCTAGTATAACAGTGCTCTAGATACTTAAGGGCTAGCTACTTAAGCTTAGTTAGTTTAAGAAATGGCACAATTACAATTCTATGCACTTACGCACGTGCTCGTTTCTGTTCGTCCTCGAATAACAAAGTTCTCGCTAGCTGTTAACGGATTTAACGGGCTAATCCACGCGGCGCCATGCCTAAATAAGGCTTGCCTCACCCCGCTAGAGGTTAGCGACAATGGACGGTGAGGGGGGCACGCGACATTATTTGTCGGATGGAAAAGGGAACGTAAACTTGTCCTGGTTGACATTGCTTTGTGGGGGTTTCTTGCGATAACAACTCCTAACTTTCCACTACCAACCTATAAAGTACGCTTTTCGCTCCCTCGGCCACCAGCTTTTGTCTCTCCATTATCCCTATATATTGGTTCAGCAATAGAGAGAGAGAAGCGCAGAGAGATAGATTCCACATACCTTGTCTGAGTGAAACAAGCTTGTTGTGAGAGAGGCGAGTACGTGTACTCCACCTTGGCGATTCCCGACGTCAAACCTCTCAGGTTGCACTCTCCCTTGGCTGGCGATCGGCCGTGGCATGAGTTACTGACACTCCTTCGTAAGACTACAGACTCCCAGATCAATCGCCTGTATATAAACACACCTCCTGAACCGACCCTCCCAGTCCGCGCAACCGGACACCGACACCCCACCACCATGGTGTCCCGCAAGCACAGCACCTCGACCGTGCGCTTCATCCCCCTCACCTACTCGCCGTCGGACTCGCAGTCCTCCGCCCTCCGCCTCATCCTCTCCGTCTTCCCCGAGTGGGAGAAGACGGACGGCAAAATCGAATTCGTCCGCTTCACGGATGGAATCACGAATACCCTCCTCAAGGCAATGAATGTGCGCCCCGGCTTGTCCAAGCAGGAAATTGACGACAGCGCGGTGCTTCTCCGAGCGTATGGGAAAGGCACAGACCTCATCATCGACAGGGAGCGCGAGACGCAGAATCATGAGTTGCTGATGGGACACAGCCTCGCGCCGCAGCTGCTCGCCCGCTTCAACAATGGGATGGTGTATAGGTACATCTCTGGCTCTGTGACTGCGCCGGGGGATCTGAGGAACAAGGACGTGTACACGGCTGTTGCGCGGCGTCTGGCGCAGTGGCACGCTGTTGTGCCGTGTCTCCCCAACACGCGGGTGCCGGTGGAAGAGGTGGCGAGTGAGGCGATGGAGGCGATGGTTCCAACGGAGCGGAGGGATCCAGAGGTGCAGCGTAAGATCGATGGTATTGCGCCGGGGAAGGTGGCGCCGAATGTGTGGACGGTGACGCAGAAGTGGATTTACGCCTTGCCGACTGCGACGGAGGAGCAGAGGGCGCGCCAGGCGGAGTTGCAGGGGGAGCTGGAGCGGACGGTTAGGGAGTTGAGCGATAGGCCGGGACTGGGGAAGAATAGCCTGGTGTTCGCGCATTGCGATTTGTTGAGTGGGAATGTGATTGTTGAGCCTGCGAAGAAGGGGGAGGCGAATGGGGTGGCGGCGAAGGAACCGGTTACGTCGGTGTCGTTTATTGATTACGAGTATGCGGTTCCGTCGCCGGCGGCATTTGATATCGCGAACCACTTTGCGGAGTGGGGAGGGTTTGACTGCGACTTCAGCGTCTTGCCTACCCGCACGCAGCGCCGCGACTTCATCCGCGAGTATGTCGCGAGCTACTTTGCACACCTCAATGTTGCCAAGACCAGCGAGGAGTTGGAGACCGAGGCGCAGGCGCTGTTTGAGAGCGTGGATTTGTTCCGTGGTGTCCCGGGACTGTACTGGGGCATCTGGGCTATCATCCAGTCGGTCATCTCGCAAATCGATTTCGACTACGCATCTTACGCCGAGGTGAGGCTGGGAGAGTACTACGCCTGGAGGGGAGAGACGGAGGGGACGAGAGAGAAGAAGGGGGAGGAGATGCCGCTGCGGGAGAGACGGTGGGCGCAGGAAGAGTAGGCGCTTGATTCTGATTTAATGAGGGGAAGGAGACGGGCCTACTACAGAGAGACGAGAGAGAGATGAAAGAAGCGGCATAGATGTTTCGCACGAGGTGTATGTCTACAGCGCTGCATGATATTTTCGCGGCGTTATAATGGGCAAAGGGGCGAGAGATATCAACTTGTACGTCCAGCGTTTGGCGTTCTTATCACGGGCTTCAACAACCCAGGGAAGGAAAAGAAGCGGTTCTTTTTTATCAGCAGAGCGGTACGTATATGGTAGACAGAAGATTGTGGTGCTTATGAGTCTGTAGATTCGAATTTTAATATCAATAAATCCATACTTTATACTGGATTTGAGCAATTGCCGCCATACGATGGTATACTCTACAGAGTTGTCCCTGGGTTCACGAGTGCCTCGGTGCACGTGATATCAATTCTATTTGTGTGTGAAAAAAAATATGCTTACATAAGGAGACCTGGTTCCAAGCTCAAGGCGGTGGCAGAATACCTGCTACGAACAGAAACAACGGGAGGGGTTATGACGTCTACCATCAAAAAGTTCAGCCCGTCCAGCCAGTACACTAACCCTTCAAAAAGCTATCTTCCCTATCTCAGCTCGCCCTGAAATTCTTGGACGAGAACGTGGTTAGGCCGTTCTCACAAGACTGGATCCGGACCATCCCACTGGAATCCATTTGAACCCGGTACACCTGGATTGGCGTAAAGTATGCTAAAGGTAGGGGATATAGGGGAATATAGGGGAATCTACCGGATTGTGGGGAACCGCTGACGATATCAATGCATCATCATTCTTGCTTGGAATCTAGATATGTGAGACATTCCCTTGGTAAGGCTTCACTTGCCTTCCCTTGGTTACGTAGTCTACAAGGTGATGAATAACTAGCTGCCCTCTCTTACCTTACCATTTATTGCCGTCCTTCCCGATATTACCATCCCCCTCTCTCACTACCCCTGGCCTCTCTTTTCTCCTTCCCAACATCCTTGACAACCCAACAGCATCTGAAACGGTATTAATCATGGAAAAAATCAAGAGCATCTTGTGAGAATGATACTACCCTTCTGCCCTTCAGTTCTGCACCATCTAATGCGCTTCCCAGGAGTCCCGGCAAGCATGTCGAGGATGAGATCCTGTATGGGTCTGGTGGCGGCGGCCAATATGAGCATACTGGCCGCGAGGTACCAGGCTCGACAGGTGGTTACTATAGCCAAGCCGGTAACCAACCTCAAATCTATAACAGGGAGCGGGACTCCATCCCCAGCCAACCCTCAACCGCACAGGATTACGGTAAGACCGGAGATGAATACCTTGCAGCCGAGAAAGAACGGGCTGCGAAATCCAAGATGGCGAGGGAGTCATCTTCGACGGAGAAGAGAAACGGCCACCGCAAATCGCGATCTGGCGAACACAAAGAGAGCCGCAATCCTTACACGCAGCAGGCTGTTGATCCCCGGCTTGGTGGAGGCGCTGAAGAGTCCACGATAGCAACACACAATGCTCAAGCTGATGCCATAGGCGCTGGTTATTCCCCCCCGCCGCCTATTAAGCCTGTTCAGCCCAAGGCGCATGGGAGTGCTGCTGGTCGTGACGGCAACGGTGCTGCTGCTGCTGGAGCTGTTGGCGCGGCAGGTGCGGCAGGTGCGGCAGGCGTAACAGAAGCAGGCACTACGAAGAAAGGTGCCACAGTAGTGCCCCTGGAGACGGACTCACCTCATGGCGAAGTGGTGGGAAGGACATTATCGGGCCACCATACGGTGGAACGAACACCCAATGGCCAGTATCGAACTCGCCTGGCGAGCATAATCGATCCGAACCATGGAGAAGGCGTTAAGACGTCGGAGAGCGCGTATGAACATACCCCCGGCGGCGGTGGCGCATATACAGCTGACAAATTCCATGAAAGAGAACCACGTGTTGCTAGCGTCACCTTGCCTAATGGCACGAAATATCTGGACCCGAAAGCGGCTGAGGATTATGGGCTGAACTACAAACCCCAGGCTGGTACGAGCTACGGAGACCAGGGACAGCCTCAGGTTTCGACGACGAAGTCTGAGGCTGACCGCGCCCTTAGTGGTGAGCAACAACCGAGTCACAAAGGCGCGGGGGTAGTGGGAGCTGGCGTGGCTGGTGCTGCCGTGGCAGATGCTGGTTATGAGGGCACGAAGACAGACAGGGCACAGCCTCGCGATGTCGACGACCCCGCATACAGGACGTCTCGAGTGTCAAATGCCGAGGAAGCTACTACAACTCACAAAGCCGATAAATCTGCCAAGAAAGCTGCGCCCAAGGCGGCTCCAGCTCCAGCCCCAGCCGAAAGACTCGACGAATCTGCATACGCGGCTAAGCCCACAGCAGCCAAGTATGGTGATGTCGACGTTCCTCCTGGAAATGACTATGGCAAGGAAGTGAAAGATCCTCGCTACGGCTTGCCCATGGGTGCTGCAGGAATCAGCGCCGAGGAGGCAGCGGCTATACGCAGAAATGAGGCTAATGTGGCCCGGCCCTCTCAGGCTCAAGCCTATGCAGGCAGACCGACTACAGCGGAGCAGGATTATGCCGCCCAACCTGCTGCGACGGCAAATCAAGCTTATGGCACTCAGCATGCTACGCAGGCTGAACAGCAAGCAGCCAAACCTACCAAGGAGGAGAAGCCCAGCCGCCGCTCTAGCATCTTAGGGTTCCTTCGTAAGATCATCCATATCATATCTCATTGCAAGCACTAACACACCCATCCAGACCTAGGTAAAGACAAGAAAAAACACAGCAAAGACGCACAGAACAAACCATACACCGACGTCACTGGCAAAGCACCCCTTGGCTCGGCAGCAGGTACACAACAACAGCCGGTAACCGGACCAACGACTGAGCCTGCGTATCGCAATCGCATGGCTAGCACGGCTGATGCACCGGCTTTCACTGGTGGGCTTGTGGGTCCTAATGGAACGCCGCTGACTGGTGCTTCTGCTGCTTCTGCTGCTAACGCAGACTCGTCTGCTTGGGCTAGGTCTACCGAGAAGGAGGTTATGGATCGGGGTGGAATGGGTCAGGGTGCGTACGGTAGTGGTGGTGGTGCTGCGACTAACCAGGCGGCATATGGTGGTACTGGAATCGATGAATCCTACGCTGCACCTACTGGCACTGGAGCTACTCAAGGTGGAACAACGGGTCAAAAATCGGGCTCTCATGGAGCAGCTACTACCAGCAGCGCCATTGCCGCCGGAGCTGCCGCGGGAGGTGTGGCTGCCGGTGGAATGAACGGTTCGAAGGCCCACGAGGGAGTAGCCCCAGACTACAACCTTCAGAGCGCCCAAGACAAGGGCGCTCCAACCCAAGATCACCTCTACGACCAAGTCAGCCCCCGTAGCTCGAAGGCGGCACACCAGGCGGACCACATGGAGTCGAAGACCAACCATACTACTACCAAGGAGACGGCAAAGTCGAACCACAAATCCCACACCCACAAGGACAAGAATAACACCGCCTATGCGGGTAGTGATGACGCCCAGACTCGCGATGCTGAGTATGGTGGCTATGAGAATGATCCTCGAATCGGCAGTGCTGCGCAGGGTGGCTATGGTAGCAACCCGCCTACCTATGACCCCTCTGCCGTCAATGGAGCAGCGTCTAGCAGCGCTGCTTATGGCGGGAAGGAGACGCAGGCTAGTAATGCTGCCTACAGCGGAGGGACAGAGAATCCCGATGAAGCTGACTTTGGCAACGAAACCTATGTTGGTAGTGGAGTGTCGCGCCATGGAACGACGAAGGTAATTGAAAGGGAGGGCCACCATGTGCTGCACAAAGACCCGCCTGCTAGTCACCCTGCGGCCGGTATGGCGGGGGTGGAGTAGGGTGTTTGGGATGGTTGTGGGTTAATACGGGGTTTATATAATACATGTGTTGGGTGCGGGCGGCTAGGGTTGGTTGGGGATGGATGGGTTGGTATTGTTTGATTATGTATGCTTTTAGATTTTCTGTTCTTTGATACATGTAATACTCCAGATTGCAAAAACTTTATAAAAAATAACATGGATGTTCAACTTTACACCTTGGTAATAGGCGCTTGTGGTTAATTTTAGAGTCTTGGAGGGCGTTGTTAACACTGTGCTAATACTGATGATGACTGCCACACAAACAGTCGAGCCTAAGACCAGAACCCCACTCCTGAGCTTTAAACCGGCTTTCAAATTCGATCTTCGCGCACATGACCGACTTAGTATGTTTGTTTAGGCAGGGATGCGGGGTGTGAAACGGGGATATTAATACACGGCGCGAAGTAAGTAGTTGGCGCGTATATTCCAACAGCGGTTTTACCGCGCAGGGTTGGTTTCTAGGCAGCGGGATTGTGGAACCAACAGCAGAGCAGAGTGGAGATAACAGATTTCGGTGCTCAGTACTCAGTATGCGTTAGAATAGAATGGGTTATTGTGTGTTTGTATATTGCGGTGAAGGTATTTATTGTTTGGGCATGATCTGCTCTGTTGTACGTCGTTGGAGTTGATGTTGTTGATGTTCCCGAACGGGTAATGGCAGATAGATAGATAGGTGCGGTCTGATAAGGTTCCTTCATATTTTTTTTTGGTCGTCGCACCTCAAATTTACTGTATGGGATTAGAATACAGTCGCAAATGTAATAACAGGTGTAAATAGCACAGAGAATTAAAAATAATACATAGATAAACCTGCTTTCCCCTCCTGTAAAACTAAAAAACATAAAAGGTCCCTGAACATTCAACCGTTTGACGCCCGCATCCCTGTTCTGTTTGCTCCCCCCGTCGTCTTATCCGTGTCGCCAGCGGTTTGGTCAAGCTTAACGTGAGATAGACGGCCGTGGTTAACCACAAAAGTCACTGAAAAGTAGCAAAAGTCACCTTCGTCGTAACACCAAAAGTTACTTATTCCAACTTTCTTACTCCCCCAACACAAACCCCATCTGGAAAAACATTACTTCACCACCGAATATCCTATTTAATCTTTAATCTTCCCTGCCTGAAGAAACAGTTTGCGGTTTGACTGACAGAGATTTGTTCATAATAAACTTAAATAGTCGACCACAGCACAGTCCATAGACCACCGCGAGGATCCAAACGGGTCTCCAATTCACCAAATCTTCACAGGAGGGAGTTCGACACTCTCGAGCACATACGCCGAGCAATGGCCCAATTCCTTGATCGGTATCGCATTATTGAAGCCCAAAAAGAAGAGTCTGTCAATTTTATAAAGGTTCGTTACCAGCCAGCCACTCCACCCCCGTTTGACCCTCGACCGAACCGCGCGCTGACGGGCACAACCCCTACAGGATCTCCTTGTCTACATTGATAAACTCGAAAACGACCTCCGCGGCGAGAACGATCGCCTTTCGAAAGAGCTAGACGACGCGCAGCTGGACTTGGAGGATGCCAGACGTAGTCGTAGGGAGATGCAGCAGCAGCTGAGTGTTACAAGCGCGCAACTGGGACGATATAATACCGACAATGAATCTCTGAAGGTTCTACAGCTCACACTTCCTCCGTGGTCGCGGCCATTAGCTCACAAGAACAGAACCGAAATCCCTACATAATTTTGTTAATTGACGGTGATGGTACCATTGTAAGGACCCCCCATTGCCTCATCCTGTCTCAGCCATGATCCAACGCTGACATCTTTCCCTCACCAGTTCCACGAAGAATATATACGACAAGGACTCGAGGGCGGTAAAAAGGCAGCCAATGCCCTCCGAAACGCCGCCCTGGAACAATGCCCCAATATATCAGACGACGTCGAAGTTATAGCTAAAATCTTTGCGAATGTTTCTGGCCTGGCTAAGGCTATGAAGCGCGTGGGCGTACTGGATAATGCCGATGATCTGCGCGAGTTCACGTTAGGCTTTACGCAGGGCAAGGCCTCATTTGACTTTATTGATGTTGGGCATGGCAAGGAGAGGGCGGATTCAAAGATTAGAGGTAATGCATGCTCCCCCTCGCCCAGCAGCTGTGGCGGGCTTGATCGTGTGACACTTTAACTAACGAACCATTTCCCCAGAGGCCACAAGATGGAATATCCGAAACCACAACTGCAAACAAATCCTCCTCGGCGTCTCCCACGACGCCGGCTACGCCCCCTTCCTCGACGAAGTCCTACGCGACGAATCCACCACCCGCCGCGTCTCCATCATCGAGGGGACCCCCATCGTGCGCGAGCTCGCCGCCACAGGCACCCGCGTCCTAAACTTTGACCATATCTTCCGCAACGACAAGCTCATCGAGCGCCAATCCCCCTATAGCCAATTCCAGCAGCTGTCGCACGGCGGCCTGCCACCGGCACAGCTCCAAGCCATAGGCAATGGTCGCAATCAGAGCCCTACGCCGCCGAATACCTGGGCGGGCGTTACTAGCATTCCCCTTACTACGCCTCCACCGATGGTTTTCCCCGTGACTCTCAAGAATGGCACGTCTGGCGCTGCTGCCGCTGCCGCAGCCGCTGCGGTCAACATTGTCACGCCGCACCCTAAACTCGACGACTGGGTCCCCGGAGACCGCGGTCTAGATCCCACCCTCACCATCTCGGCCGTCGTGCTAGAGCGCACCAAGCGCCGCGCCGGAAACACAAAACTATGCAATAACCACTACCTCCGCGGCCCGTGTCCCAAGGGCGACGAATGCGTCTTCGAGCACAAACACAAAGCCAGCGAGGAGGAGCTCAAAGCCATCGCCTACCTTACGCGATTGAATCCCTGCGTGAATGGCCAGGATTGCGATGTCGAGTACTGCATTTATGGACACCATTGCCCCAGCGTGGGGCTGAATCTCGCGGCGGTGGGGGGGAA